GACGGAGGACTCAGGAGAAGGACTCAGGGGGAGGAGGAGGAGGAGGAGGACTAAGGACGAGAACGAGGACGACTATAAAGAGGACTGAGGAGGAGGACTGATGAGGAGGAGAAGGAAGAGGAGAAGGAGGAGGAGGATGAGGACTGGGGAGGAGGAGGATGAGGAGGAGGAGGAGGAATACTTAAGAGGAGGAGAAAGAGGACTGATGAGAAGGAGGAGGAGGACTGAGGAGGAGGAGGAGAACTCAGAGGACTCAGGAGGAAGAAGACTTAGGAGGAGAAGAAGGAGGAGGAGGAATACTCAGGAGGAAGAAGACTTAGGATGAGGAGGAGGACTGAGGAGGAGGACTCAAGCCAATAATAAGCATGTGTCACGATACAAATGTACTTGACTATACATTTAAGGTGCTGTGTACTATAGTGATATTATGGTATGTTTAAAGACCGGACCACAAAATATAACCCGGTACCTAGTGTTGTACTAATACATAATAAGTAATAACAAGTAACAGGGATAAAATCAATGAGCAGAAACAATCGATTTCACAAGAGACGAAAGCACTCGGGTCTGGGAGTACATGATAACTCTAACTAGTAGTGAGCATACTAGCCCCTGCAGTGGAAAAACACATAAAACATACTAATGGAATGTATATGTCCAATTGAATGGACCAATTTCCAATAAAACATAAAATGGATCACAATATATCCCAAATTTTAATAAAAAAACGATAAAAAGGGAGCGAATTTCATAATTTTGTGTGGGTTCATCGTTTTTGTTGTTGCACCCCCAGGTTTTATGTATGATACATGATGGTTTACATATTATTTTAATGTTTCTTCACTGCTAAGTTGAGCTTAGATCTGATTAATTACGAAGATGTGTGATCTTCTATTTATCAAAATGACGATTTGTAAAAAATACGAAAAAATACGAAAAAATACGAATACGAATTTGAAATTTTAGGGGTGCGTTCGTATTTTTTGTAGTTGGACCCCCCCCATTTACACTAGAGGCACAACTCCTACAGCACAACTGAGATGGGTGATGGTCATGGTAGGGCATTTGGTGGGTGGTTAGTTGTGAGGTGATGAGATGTATGAAGTGGTGATGAGTTGCATGACCTGGGCCAGATATCCAGTGTGAACATACTGTTATATCGTCACTTTCCTTTTTTAAAGATCTCTCGTGAAGCTACTGGGACCTTTTTCAGGCTTTGCTAATCGATTACCTTGAGATTACCAGTGCAGCATGACATTTTAACTGAGTGTGACGATATGACATGGCTACTGGTTACTAAATTACTAGTACTGGTTACTAGTACTGGTTACTAGTACTGGTTACTAGTACTGGTTACTAGTACTGGTTACTAGTACTGGTTACTAGTACTGGTTACTAGTACTGGTTACTAGTACTGGTTACTAGTACTGGTTACTAGTACTGGTTACTAGTACTGGTTACTAGTACTGGTTACTAGTACTGGTTACTAGTACTGGTTACTAGTACTGGTTACTAGTACTGGTTACTAGGCTACTGGTTACTAGTACTGGTTACTAGGCTACTGGTTACTAGGCTACTGGTTACTAGGCTACTGGTTACTAGGCTACTGGTTACTAGGCTACTGGTTACTAGGCTACTGGTTACTAGGCTACTGGTTACTAGGCTACTGCACTGGTTACTAGGCTACTGGTTACTAGGCTACTGGTTACTAGGCTACTGGTTACTAGGCTACTGGTAACTAGGCTACTGGTTACTAGGCTACTGGTTACTAGGCTACTGGTTACTAGGCTACTGGTTACTAGGCTACTGGTTACTAGGCTACTGGTTACTAGGCTACTGGTTAGTGTTACGAACCTTCAACATCAGACCAAAGAAGATAAGTTAACAAAGAGAACGTTGTGGCAGCACACGTGGTATATTTAGACAGGATAGCATCTAGCCTAGCTTAGGCGCATGAGGATGGGGCTTCAAAACCGAAAATGGAGAGAGTTATGAAGGGAAAAAAACTGAGAGAACTGAGAACTGTGTAGCGACACAAGCGGTGTGTGAATAACTAGAATCAAGAGCAGGGAGAGAGAGAGAGAGTGACTTAATAAGCTCTCTCTCTCACTCAGGACACATTACGAGCACACATAGACCTCCCATTTTGACGAAAATGAGGTGATGAAAAAGAGAAGCCAGACAAGTTGTAAAGTCAACACCACCACACCAACAGCAAATTATAAGCCATTTAATTAACCATACTGTACGAGTTTAAAACCCGCGTCTACTACAACTACAAGCAGTGAGTGGAGCTTTTTCAGGCTACCGGAACAATCGTTGACAAGACAATATCCGGTATTAATCGATTACAACAACCTTCATCCTTAAGATAGACAAATGTTGGGGAATTTTCTTGGGCATGACCGGACATGGTCCTCTCTCTCACTCTGAGATCCGAGAGAGGGTAGCTGGAAGGCAGCAGGAGACTATGTGTAGAGAGATAGTGAGGTCATACCCTTCAACATCTCTCCGAACACACCCCGCTTTATTATAGCTAGAAAATTACCTACGGCTTGTAAAAACTCGTTAGAAAATTAACTGTGAGTTGTAAAAACTGGTTAGAAAATTGACCAAGGGGTTCTAGAAAAACCACCTCGAAATTATTAACCTATAGAACTATAAATTCATTACAGGACGCATCAAAACTCCGGGTACGAGTAAGCAGGATAAGACTAAAACCACGGGAAGCTCTAAACAATGATAGGTAGCAGGGTTTTAGATAAGAAGCAGAAGTCACTTCACAAACTGATGAACCCAAGCTGAAGTTAGACTTCCGGAGAGAACCACAGAGAGAGAGAGAGAGAGCACAATAAACACTAACTGAACAAGAACTGGAACTAAAACTGTAAAAGTGTGGGACCATCTTAATAAGCAGAGATTAAACAATAAAAACAAATAACATAGAGCCTAGATATAAGATAAGGCAGCTAAAACAACAACGTGTCGCTACCTGGAGATCAGGCCACTGAGAGAAGTGCGAGAGAAGAGAGTTAGTTATAAGATGACGGGGTTACCAGCTACCTCACTACGTGTATGACGTATCTCCTTATCACGTGACTGGTATGATAGCGTCACCATGCCAGGGCAGGGTGGCTCTCTGGCAAACACTCAGTAATAATTCATTTGTAATCCTACACTCTGAACAAGCTCCGTGGGACGGCCAGGGTCACGTTACAGTGAGGATTACATAGCATTACCTCACGCAGTAATCATTGGTATGACAAGCATGTTTGTGAGAAAAGATGAAGTGGAGGAGAAACACTCACAAACAGCCCTGAAATACACAGTGAGGAGAGAAAGGCTATTTGAGAAAATGAGTTAAGTGATAAACTGACGGTCTATGACTGACATGGTCGCTGCTGAGTGCATGTTTGCAATAATTTGTTACATATAACTATATAAGGTCATCACCGGTGACACGTCGAAATAACGATGTAATCGCGGTGTGGCAGCCAATTATAAGTTGACAGCACACTTGGGTTGGACTGGGGCGCTAATTGGGGTGAAGTAGACTGGTAATTAGCTAGGTAATACCGTGTAGGAAACTAGCAGTGTGTATCCTGAATATTATTACTAAATATTATTACTAAATATTATTACTAAATATTACTGCTCAATATTACTGCTCAATATTACACATTTTGTAGCCCCGCCTCGCATAACAAAAAACCGGGCAGAACACACAGTTAGCACAATATCACGGCAAATAGTAAGTATCGTGCGATCACCAAACCACAAGCAACAGGATTATTACACATAATATGTGTAATTTTCTCCTGTCCGATCCTACAGCTCGGCCGTGTGTGAATTGTGACGTCACAAGGTCGGAATGTGCAGGGAAACCCAGCAGCAGTGCACTTGTTACAGTCGTGTAGCTACTTTATCAGTGTCATGTCACGTGACATCACGTGATGCTGATCAGGTATCCTGATTGGAGGAGTCGGCTGGTGTGGCCACAGTACAGGGTAGGGCTGCTTCCAAGGTACGTGTAACTGTGCGTGTTTTAGGCTGAGCAGTAACTACTCAATTGACAGGAGACTGTGTTTAGGCTCCTGTGTGCCACATTGGCGCCAAATAACACCGGAAGACAATACCTAATCTCGTCAGTGATTGAGAGGAGTGATTGGATTTAACATGTCAGCGAATTTCGGGATATAAGATATCTGTAGTGCAGCAAGCCCTTGAGAATTTCTACCACATAAGAAGTATAACAGAAATATCATGAACTTTGTATCCTGTCTACTGTATTGGAAATATGTTGGAAATATCCTGGACGTGGTACCTATAGTTGCAAGGAAGCCATGCCTGTGCACTAAGAGACGTAGAAACTGTACAAACTGACTGAAGAGAGAGAGGTTAAACAAGGCCACGCCTCATGTAACCATGGTAATATAACTCCTTATATGGGCACCACGTGTTATAGCTCTTCTACACTGTCTCGCTACACCCAACTTTCGGGTTTTTAACGCTAAAAACGGAAAGTAAAAGTTTTAACAAGTTTTCTAGAGGCTTTGAACTGATCTAAGGACGGGGAGGCGGTTAGCTAAGGATGTGGCAGCAGCTGTGTACTAGTGAGTTAGAGGTCCTTCCTTCCATGTTGACATGTTGAGAGCAGCACAATGAGTGTGTGGAGATCATGACGATATGCTTTTTAAAACAGCGTTGTAACTGGATTAGATGTGCAGTATGCATGAGACAATTCACGTGAAAGTTTAAAGGTTAAAAACGGTGAGAATGAGTTGTGCCAGTGACTTTATTTAACATTTCTCTGTAGACATTTTTAAGTGTATCTAGAACACTGGGAAAATGTTTATTAACTGATTATCTGGAAGTCGTAATTAAATTAGTAAACTATTAGTGTATTTGTCAAGTATTCAATCAAATTAAACTAAGTCAATATCAAATCATTTAAAAAAGTTAAGTACTGAATCAGTTAAAAAGCGTAAGAAGTATCTTACAAGTGAAGAGCACAGTCGAGCTGGAAGATGATGCACTTCATGAGGGCCTCGTGTGAGGCTGTGTGGATGTTGTGTTTACGAGCGGTGAATATAGCTAGTGCTTGCGGCTCCTCTGCTCCTTGCTGGTTCGTCTGAAATTTATAAATAATAAATAATATAACTATTTATTCTATTTACAGTACAATCAAACCATGTGGTATAGTAAAGTATTTGTGTGTTACATATAAATTAACAAATTGGGGATGTATAGAGAAGGTATCATCAGTTCCGTTACATGCTGGTATACAATTTGATGGTTTACTCCATTAATTTGAGCTTTAAACATCCTCAACGTGTTGAATGAATTGTTCGTACAGGTTATTTGTAAGTAAAGCGGAACTATGATTTTGAACACCTTATATCGCGAGAGCCATATTTATAGTTATACCCCAGAGAGTTGGTTTTCAGAGAGTTGGATCAGGAGATTTTCACTAGAAAATAGTTGTGCTCCTTAGAGGACACGGTCTTTAAAATATAAACTAATTACATAGTGGAATATTATTTGGCGATTTCTTCAGACCCTGAGTTAACCACAGGAAGTGTTAAAGATACACAAATCCATTCTTCAAATTTCATCAACTCAGCTATATAATGCTTTACCTTTCAATGCAGTGCATGACGCAGTTGCAACCGTAAATCAGAATCCGACAGAGAGATTATATTTCTAGTCTAACTAGCTACTAGAGGCTCAACACCCTATTTTATAAGTTCTATCCTTAATCCTTATCTTGTCCACATGTCACAGAATATGTAAATGTAATTACTCCCTCAAGGTACACATTTTACACCTTCTCAGGCCCACATACAAGGCTAATGTTAAACATGGCAAATCTTAACAGTAAAACAATATCCCACATTACTGGCAGTCATGGTTAGATCCCATACAAGTTCTCAAAACCTAATGACCATAAAAGAAGTACATGGCACAGATATAATTACCCGGTAACATACTTACAATAATCGTGAACTTCCCACTGTCGAGTTCGTCTTTTAGCGGCCCAGTGACAGGGTTTATTGTTCTCAGTTTGTACTGGTCCCTCAGCGCCTGTTGGACATTTCATTCGCATTAAATTTATACACTGTTAAAAGGGTAGAGTTATACTATAAGATATCCGCGACAGCGATAAGCCCGACAAGCCGGCTCACTACAGCCTTTGGCACATGAAAAAGTGGAAGCCATACTGACACTACATACGAGATTTCTTATCCCCTCGACCTCGCACAAATATGTACACACAGCGCCCTTTGACTGTAATTTCTTACATGACACCCCTCGCGTCATTCCATCCAACGATCAATCCTTTGAGTGTGATCGCCTTGTGAGAAAAAGGTTTAGGTAAGTGTGGGGTTCGCTAATCGTTAAACAATGGTGACAGTGATTATGTTCGGTCCAATCCCATGGAATCATAAAATAAATACGGTGCCTAATGGAGATTAAATTACTTGCATGAGAAAAAATGGTATATTTTATGGGAGATTGCGCGGGATCAAATTTAAGTTTTTGTGATAACGCGCGAAATTTACTTTATTTTGTCCGCTCAAAATATCAGAAAACTAGCAATAGGATAAAAATTCTTAAAGAGACACACCCTAGTAGGCGGGACTACAGCCACGTATGAAGCCATGGGTGATCGAATTATCAAGTAGTAGGACGTGAAAACGCAAAATCGAGTTGATAACTCAATCTCCCAACAATAGTTGAACACATAAGTAATATTTAGCGCTGACGGTGCACACTGTGAAACACAGTGCTGGTTAACGAAGCGCACTGTTTTGAAACGCAATACCTCCCCCGGCCGACATGTTTCATAAATTAAAGTTATCAGTCATTAGCATTCCCCGGTAACCACACCTAATAAGAAATCATATCCAAAACACACCTGCTGCACTACTCCGTCCGAATCACAATTTGTTAGGTGGGGTGTTTTCAATTCTTACACACCGGAAGGAATTCCCTCAATTCTTTGGATGCCAAAGGGGAAACGTCAACGTGCCCTTACCTCATGGTTCCTGAATAAAGTAATGGCGCGGGTGACATCAAACTTCCGGGCAGATAAGAACTTGACAGCGCATTTCATGTCAACAGGAGGGTGCCCAACTTGTTCCTGCATCACGTTCACCCAGTTCAAAAACTCTATCACTTTCTGAAATTAAAGATAGTTATCGCTATGCGTGAGTACGTCCGTGTACGAGTTATTACTAATTTCTGTAGAATAGAACGAGATTCGTTTTATTATCCCGCCAGGCGTGGGGGCAATTATCTAAGAATTAAAATAACTTTTGGAGAAAATGTTGAATGTTGATGTTATTTCATGTCATACATATAATATTCTATCATTCACCGCTAATCTCTAAAACAATTGATATAAAATGAATGATTCTGAGTTTAAACAAACAGTTTAGTCAGTTTTGTTTTCGTTTTAGCTTTTGACACGTCGGAAGATATGGAATCATGAACAAATCTTACCGTTCAAATAAAATTCTCGAGAAAAAAGGGCTAATTATAAGTCCTCGATTCATCACATCATGTTCTATGAATAAAACGGATAGACTAGCAAGACTTTTAAAACTTAGCGACAGCACAAATCTTAAAAGTGTTCTCAAACGAAATTTCCTAAATTTATGTAAATAAATATTACGTAGTTCACTCAGCCCGCTTTCTTTAATGCAACTAAAATATTTCACGTCGTTAATTAAACTAACGTACACTTTAATTGGTCTTGATTAAGAAGTTATGTTAATTGAGACCGTAATATTTAATTACATAATTGGACAGTAAACCGCGCAAACACGGGACACACCATTCTTTCCACGGGAAACCACACGAACTATAGTAGCCTTCATAGTTCGCATTTTAAACATATTATATCTGGATTCCTAGCATATCATTACATGTTATTAATACGACTTTCTGGCTTCGGACTGTTAATGAAAGTCAATGTTATTTTTGCAGCACGGAACGGCTATAAATACATCTTGTTCCACGTGGATAAATTTTAAAATGTTACAAGTTCACGACGCTCGGAATTCTGTTCATAGGAAATTGATTCTGGGGTGAAATAGATTCTAGAACAAAGTATGAGGCAGTTTTAAAGCAGCAGCATGATATTCGAGACTATTTATTTTCTTTTCCAAACATGTGACTTCCAGCTCATTAAACACTGCAAGATAATAATATATGTCACGTAATTTTGAGTTGTTCGTACTCAAAGACAGGTTTCATCGTTAATAACACACCAACTCAAAGATTAGTTAACATGACCAGACGAGTGACTTAACTATGTGTACACTGTAGGCGCACTTTAAATTTTGTAGGTTAGTATTCTAAAAATAGATTTAAACTGTTGTTAAGGTGTGGTGCGGGTGTTTTCACTTTTTTATGGCAATAATTGTAAATATTGTACGATATAGCTGTCAGATACTGGTTTGGATTGATAAACGGGTATGTGACAATGAATTCCTTTTGATGAATTAAATTACCTTTAATAAAAATTTAATGTTTTGCAGAAGTTAAGCAAAGAATGCTTACAATTTTTCCTTAAATTTTAAACCATTATATGTGACAAGTTATCTTAAACAGCTAAAGCAACTTTCAGTTTAAGTAATAAAATTTTAGACATTTTCTTGAGAATCTTTTTCAAGAATGACCTGGAAGAATACATTTTAAGATGTAATAATATATATTAAGATAAGATAACAAACCTGATGTTCATTTGAATCGAGTTCGAGTCGCGACTCCATGGTAACCAGATGGCTAATCTTGTTCTAGTGGGCTTCCTTATTACATTCTGCAGAACAGTTAAAGTAGAAATTAATACTAACATTTTCTTAACCTTGTAATAACTTGTTAATTACAGGAAACTTTGACTACGGATGGGGAGGCAACACAAGTTTCTTTTGACACGTGACGATCTAGTCACAGTTGAATGACACGACTTGTATCACCTCCCCACCTTCAGAACATAATTAGATATAAAATGATTTAAAGCTCGTACACGTGTGTGTGACAGAGTTTACAATGGTGTTTACACGTTTTGACAGGCACGAATTGCAAGCAGAACATGCGATAAGTTGACAGTGAAACAACAGCATACATTGTAACAAAATTATTATATTAGCCATCTTTTGATAAACATGCTTTATTACGTAAAGTATTAATTTAGGATAAAAGTTGTATTAATGATTTGGACAACAAGCACAGCCAAACGTATAGCTGACTGTTTCATTCTGTAAAATCAACAATTTTCCGACTAATAAATTTAAAAATAAGTTAAGTTAAAAACCAACCTCAACAGAGAGATATAAGATTAAGAAGAGACAATTTAAAAACTTGAATTTAAAAATCGTTAACACCACATCACAAGATAAAACTTTTAGAGAATATAAGCAAAACCAACAAAAAATGGACATTAAAACTGGGAACAACTAGTAACTCTTTACAATTTACAATAATTGATATAATATATTAATGTTATGAAAAAAACACAAGATGCTAAATTAACACATCAGGAAACACGATGGAAGTCCTTCATCTTACAGCAGCTTCACATTGATAGCCTTTGGTCTGGGGTGGGGTTGGGTCCATCTAAGCTGAAACTGAATCGAGCTCCCAATCCTCACATTATTCCTGTCGCTGTTCACAATACAACTCTCATGAACAAATACACTTTGCTTCCCTTGGTCCACTTCTACAGTTGAGAAACCATAGTGTTTGTAAGGCAACCAAGCACTGATGGTAGAAGTGAAAACGGTTCCACTAGCGATATGCTCCTTCAACTTTCCAGCTTTGTCACTCTCTCTTGATGACCCCTGTGCTGAAGTTTTGGGCTGGTTCACTCGAGCAGCCTTTCTGTCTTTCTCGGCTTTGATCCTCTGTTGCCATTTTCTTTGTCTCCTTTGGTCCTCTTTTGTTTTCTTTGCTTCTTTCTTCCGTTCTCGCTCCTCATTTTCTTTGAGTAACTTTTCCAGAAATTCCTTTTCTTTCTTCATGTTGGCTTCACGGTCTGCAACTTCATCCTCGTGTCGTGAGATAACTTTCTTAACTTCAGGCAACATCGAATCAGTCATGTCTTTAAAGCTTTTGTAAAAATGAACAGTGGAAAAATCAATTGACGGGCACAGTGCACTTATTTTCAAGTCTAAACATTCCACTTCGTCAACATCAAGACCCATAGACAACTGAACAAGTTCTCGACTTTTATTGAATCCTGTCAAACAAAACTGAACATATACAGATCCATAGTCTCTGAAGCTGTCAACAATGCTTGTGCATTCATGAGCATTATCATCGAATTCTAGGTATACAATTTCTTTATCATAGCTGCTTAAGTCCATTAGAAAGTGGACTGTATGCGCATCAGCAAACCTCTTGTTCAAGAATGTATCACAATCAAAATCACATGCAGCTTCTTTTGATACAAATTTACTTTGAGTTTCATTCAGATTTTCTTGAACATTAAGAAAACCATATAAAATGCTGTCACAAAATTGAAATTCAAAACTGTTTAAATTGAGTTGAGGAAGATGGTCCAGGTGAAGAGTTAGTTCCTTCAGGAGGGTCAGATCCTTATCAAGTTCTCTGATTTGAAGGTTATTTCTCTCGTATAGAAGGCATGTTGTTATATCAGGATTGTAATTAAACTGTATTTTCCAGTTTTTTCCACATTCAAAGCTAGTTTTGCTGATAACAACATCATCTTTTTGTTCAACATCATACACATAGAGCATATTCGTTGTACAGTGCATCACAAAAGCCATATTCTTATATATTCCCAATGGTATAGCATTCGAGAAGAGAGAAAATTGAAGCTTAGGTTTCAGGAAGGAAAACCTCGATGAAAATGCATCTAAATCATGCTCAGCAATGATACACGTAGAGAATAGTTCCTCATCTTCTAAAAGTTGAAGGGGTGCAACACAAAACATCAGCTTTATTGTTTTGTCTAATTTTTTCATACCACAAATTTTGACGTCATCGACCATACGTAAGCTGAGCTTAGGCTCACTTTTCTTCCACAAGTTAGTAATTTTTTCAAAATCTGAAGAAAAAATTCCTTGCCTTTCTAAAGGTACCTCATCTGACATTATATCCCAAACAGTCAAAGTCCTCCTCTCATCCTCAAATCCAATTCCAGATACCAAACCTTTGCAGCTGAAAATTTCTGGTGGTTTTTGTGGTGAATAGAAGGCCCCTGGAACAAACATAAATCTAGTATTTTGCTCATTATCAAGACAGTCTTTATCAATGCACAAGAGATGATACAAGTCTTCTTCTCCAGAATCCTCACAATCAGCTATAAACATAGTGAAGTGATCACTTCCGTTTTGACAGCCAGCACTGGCACCCACCATCTTAAGTATGTTGAATTCATCCTGTTTGAGATCAAGTACTTGGTCAGAGTGGTCAGTTATAAATAAAGAGAATTGGTTCCGGACAGAATGAGTGATACACTTTGAAGATGGTTCTGTGGAATCGAGAAAGCAAGCATAATGCTCCATAGAGTTTGTAAATTTGTTTAAAAGCAATGGCAACTTTTGCTTTATCTTGCCTGCATTTAAGTCTGACTGTCGACTGTAGAGAACTCGGTAAATAACCCTGGTTAAATCTACAGACCTCAAGATACATTCCCTGATCAAAATTCTCTCAATGATTTGAGATTTTTTGTCTTTGGAAATGGTTCCTATCTTGGAAAGTAGGGTTCTATTGGCCCAAGTTGAGTCTGAACTGAGATGAAGGATGATGGACTCCCAAGCAGTATAAGGTATCTTAAATGGAATCAATGACTGGAGTGACTCGATAAGAAGATCGTTGCACCACACAAACCAATGATTACACATTTCATCTGCCGTGCCGGGAAGGGCTGAGATGCAGTCAACTGAACTGTTCCACATCTTCGTGATGCCTTTATTAACATCATCTGAAGCTTCACCAGAAATTGCAACCCTACCAAGTCCAACAGACATTGCATGCTTAACGTAAAACAAAGATTCCCAAAGTAGTTCAAAAATTGGGATTTCCAACTTTTCAGTTACTGACTGATATTGAGGGATTTCAGGAAATGGATGTAAAAGAGCTGATCGTATCTTTGATAGCCGCCGTGCACACTCCACGGGAAATTTCTTTGTATCAGGAAATAAAGATGGACTATGACATAAATCGTAAAAGTCGTCATATGATTGATCACTGTGACAAGTGTAATCTGAGTCATCACTATCAAGAAAGTAGTCATTGTAGTAATCATCAGATTCATATCCGCCAAAATCCAACCAATCACCAAATTCTATACCAAAACCCTCAAATCCATATTCCCCATAGCCATTGAATCCACCAAACATGTAGTGATCGTCATCATCGTCGTCACTGTCATAGAACATTAGACCCTGAGTTACTAGAATCTAGATAAATAAGTGTTGTGAGATGGACACTGCACTGTTGTATTAAAATCGATAAATATCTCTGAATGGTAATCTTTATTTCTGTAAAAAATATATGGCTGATATTGCCAGAACAATCAATATTCAATATAGACAATTTTTGTATATCATTTATTTCAAGTCACTCAAATTTAACTCGATCTGCTACCAAATGATAAGGATTGGGAGATATCGAAACACAGTTATTTTTAAAGTTAATAAAACAAATGTTAAATTTATTACCGATTATATAATCAATACATATGATAAACTCTAATATTGGAGTGCCAGTGCAACTCTGATGGGCCCAAAACACTATGATTATGAAATAAATTTACTTGAATAGAATGAGAACTGGAATTAGGATCAAATTGACAAAGGAATACAATAACAATCTTAAACAATAATCTCAGAATGTGTGTGTGTGTTTTCCGAGCAGCTTAATCAAGAAAATGGTAAGAGTTACGGGGCTGGCTCTCTCTGCACATGTAGCTGCATAAGTAATAACCTTAATTGGGTTAGCGGGGTAAGATTCACTGTCATGTTATACTATAATCTTATTAGGGGAGGGGGCACTGTTTGGCCGGGTCTGTTTGAACTGCAGAGAGAGTTCATACTTTCATAAGACAATGTTATGCGTGTTTTCAAATATAATAGGCGGGTGTGGTGCGGAGTTAACAAGGGTTAATTTCTAAAACGATTTAAATAAAAATGGAAAGCGGTTCAAGACGGGAGTGATGAGGTGTAATAGTCGGTGTTCGGACCTTATGATCATGGAATGTGGTGCCTAATAATGACTTAATTATCCACGAGAAAGAACTGATTATGAGATTATTACTGTTGGATACGAGAGGGTACTCCGAATAGAATTGCTCACCTAATGCAGGTTTTGAATCAGTTAAACAAAAATTTCAGTTAAACAAAAATTTCAGTTAAACAAAAATTTCAATTTTATGCCATTTATTACAGAGTAAACAAGTTTACAATAAATCAATTTGATATTTAAAGGAATCCTAATTCAAAGTGTAGTATGGTTGTCACTCTTTAAATAGATTAGATATAGGTTGACAAGGCAAAGGAGTGTGCGTGCTGTTCGCTATTGCTCCCACCCATGGGCACATATTAGGTGCGATGGGTGCGGGATCGCACAATTTACCGTTTTGCGCACACTTCCGCATAATTTATTGTTTTCCGCACATTTCCGCACATTTTGTAATTATCTGCATATTTCTGCATAATCTAGCATTTTCCGCGTAATTTCGCATAATTTTGAAATTTTCGCGTTAAGATTTTCGAGTGTAAAAACCAAAATATGTTAAAAGCCGGGCCCTTTTAGGACCGTGACTCAGGCCCTTTCGGGACCCTGACCCAGGCCCTTTCGGGA